AGCCCAAAGATCTGAGACCAGCTGAAAGCAAGAGAGTGCCTGGACTGACAAATCAGACCAAGAGAGCAGCTAAGATGCTGAGAAGCGGCTGAGAATGCCAGACACATCGATTGCTGAGACCTCTTAAAAATGTGTAAAATTCAGGTGATGTTCTTCTGGAAATCAGCCATACTCAGACATTTCTAATTGAGCAGCAGACTACTGCGGTAGTCTTGTCTTTAAAGAAAAAAAAAAAGGAAAGAAAATTTTAAAAAAAAGACTGAGGCTAACTCATTGTAGAAAAAAATATTGAGCACAGCAGCTTATACAGATGAGCTTGGAGCATTTCTTCCAAAATAAAATTCAAATGGCAAATACATAGGTAAAAATGTTTCCTCCTCCTTTAACACCTGCTGTTTCAAAGAATATTGAAAAAAACCTGCTTAATCTTTTTACAAGGTCAACAGTAAAATTCAAACTTTGGAAGCAGGTGCCTGTTTTGGACAGGATTCCCCCCGCCAGGGAATATTTCACACTGGGCTCAGGTTGTCTCTCCTGCATGTTTTTGAGCTCCAGGAAAATATTTGCTTCAGTCTCTGGAAACGGAGGGAGCACAGAAAGGAAGAGAAACTCCCGAGGGCAAGACCCAAGCCTAGACCCTATGAATCCTAAACACAAGCTCTGTCTTGGCCCTTACAGACGATTTGCAGGGAAGATGAAGAGAAGGAAGAAGCAGAGTGTGTTTGCAACCGCAGCATGGAGCTGGATGCTGCCGCCCCAAAAGCATCCCCATCCCCTGCCACCTCCGTGGGTCTCCCCATCCCATGCAAGAGACTTACGTATTCGTCCTGGTTGGGGTCCTGGGACTGGGGGGAGTCGGGGATGGCGGTGTCACAGTCGGGGCTGTAGTGTTCGCAGTAATCGTGGGCTGCTCGGGGGTCTGCCACGATCAGGAGCTGCTGGATGTCGCCCTGCAAGGAAGGAGAGACAAAGCGTTGGGGAGATGGATGGTGCACGTGGAGCCACCAGCCTGAGACTGCAGTCAGGAGGATAAACACCACCGAGAAATGAAAAGCAAAACACTTGGCAGAGCCACCTCCCTGACACGGGTACATCATCTGAGATGAACCAGGTGAGAACCCTCTGTGCCCAGGGCCAGGTCAAGCAGCCACTTGCCTGGGGCTGCTCTGCAGGGTGTGAAGCCACCACACTTCACACCCGGTCCCAGATGCACCTTCCCAAAAGATAACATCTGCAGAGAGATCACCCCACACCTGCAATAGACGGTGCTGACAGCCTCGGGCAAGGCAGGTGGAGTCACCTCACACCTGCAACTGTGCTGACAGCCTCGGGCAAGGCAGGTGGAGTGGAAATAAAAGGGCTCTGGGCACCCCACACCAGCAGTGTCCTGGGGACAATAAACAGGCTCTTTGCTGCCCGGTCCCAGCTCTGGAGTTGCCCTGCCTAGTCCAAAAAGCTGTTTATTGGCCTCAAAACCTCTCTGCTTCTCCCACCCTATCAGTTGGTCTCATAAAAGACATCACACCCTGCTTTCTATGTCTCAATTTTTCACCCACAACAGTGCAGCAGACATAGAAAAAGATTAGAAATGCATCTGATCATCAGAAAAAGAGAAAAGAGGGAGGGGGTTTTCATCGGTTTATTGAAAGCCAGGTGCAAAGCAGGCTCAGGAGACACTGCGGCTGCCCTACGAACCACTCGCTATATAACAAAGGACCATGCAGCCACAGCCCAGAGCAGAAATTGCTCCTTAGTTTCCTAAAGAGCCACTGCACTGCTTAACCAAACGCCAAAAACTAGTTTATTCAGTAGACAGTTGCATAAGACTTTACTACTCAGATTATTAGAGCTGATACTTTAATTAGGGGCAAAAAAAAGAATCTTATTTAATAATAGAAAACCATGGCTAAGGCATCAGGGGAAAAAGAAGGAGCATTACAGCAGAACTGGAAGGATGACTTGGGCATGTAATAGGAACCAGAAGCTCTAAAGGGAGCCTGGCCAGACTAGTGAACAGCCCCGTGGAAAACCGAGGGATATTTTTGAAATTATGGGCCAGATCTGCCTTTGTGCACACAAGCTGCACTCAGTCCAGCCGCGGGTGCCGCTGGGTCCGTGGGGAGCTCAGCCTCCCATCAACACATGCCCCCAACTTCACCAAAAAAAAGTGCTGTTTACATTTTTGGCAGAGATCCACCAGGAAAGAAGGTTGTGAGGACTCTGCAGACCTGCTCGCATCCTGCCTGGCTCCGAGGGCAGGGGCAGCTTAGTGCTGCCAAGGGTTTCCCTCCTCGATTCCCAGGTTATCGCACCCATCTCTGCAGCCCCTCACCGTAACGTCTGGGCACCTCTCAATGCTACGCAAGTTACCCTAAAATTGAGCGTTGGTTTAAGCTTATTAGTCATTGTTTCCTGTGAATTCATAAAATTAACAGAAATGTCTGCAAAGTAGTTTTCAATTTTCTATTTTAAGCAAAAGAAATAGTCTTTCCATGCCTTTTGCTTTTTTTTTTTTTTTTTTTTTTTAATAAATCCAGGCAGCTGTTCTGTCATTACTGTCCTGGCTTTTCTTATTCAAAAAAACTACCAAAAATGGGGATACAGTATTAGGAAAATGGAAAATGCCAAGTTTTTGTCTCGGAGAACATTTCCCGTTGCCAGCCAGCTCTGGCCACCCCCTGACAATGTGACCCCCATGGGGAACTCGGCCTTGGTGTGACCTAGAGGACATCATCCAGCCCTCAGCAGAGCCTCGAAGGAGCTGGGGGTGTTACGGGGTTCCCCACACCATATATTATCCCCTCTGTCTCCAAAGGCGGTTCAGAACAGCAAACCAGGTTGCCCGCCCTTTGGAGCTCCATCCAGTGGAGGATGCCCAACCCAGCCAAGGCAATTTGCTTTGAGTTGATGACATGAAGACCCTTCCAGCTGCTATTTCTGCACACAGGACCTCAGTCACCCCTCATTGACGCCCGAGTTAAGCCATTTATGCCCTTCTCCTAGGTGGTTAAAGCCCCCCTGGTTTCCACGGGGTTATGAGGAGTGTCCGGCACTGTTGGGATAAGCTGAAATAAAACAGCCACAAAAAGCAGGCTTGGTGCTTGTCTCCAAGAGGCAGAAAAAGGAAGGCTGAAAGCTTTTTCTTCCTGATAAGGTTGGATTTACACCTCAAGGAGAGCTGATAGGCTGCATCCTATAAGTGACCAGGACTATAACTGGGTTTTTCTTGAGGAACAGATAAAGCAAAGAGAGGCATGTTGGCTAAACACAGTGCAAAAGGTTAAGCAGAAGAGAATTTGCTAAAGCTGAGTTTGCTTTTAGTCTCAGCTGATGGCAGCTCCTGAGCTGTGCGTGGGGAGAAATCCCGGCTGGATCTCACCCTGCTTCCCCCGCAGCACAACAGGCGCTGAGCATCCTCTGGGTCCGATGGCTCAAGGTGTGGCGGTGCCTTTGAGTACACGGAAGGATGTCACCTCCAAGTCCCAGGAGCCACAGGCTCAAGTGTTGTGGCCATGGCACAAGCCCCAATGTCACTCAACACGCCAAAGGACAGCGCTGGCCCAGCGGTTCTGCTGGGGGGGGAAAGGATGAACAAGGGAACCTCCCTGCTAGTTCTGGGTCAAGAACCTGAGAAAGTCAGTGCGCAACCGAATAAATTTGGTACGCAAAGGGTGCCAGGAAAAAGCGTGAGCTGCCTCAGACAGCTCCTTCAGAGCTCACCACGCTTCGTGAGCATCATTCAACGTACCTACTATTTTCCCATTTCCTTTTCAAACCCAATCAATCACCCTGGCCAGCAAAGTTCATCCTTTTCTTGTTGTTCCAGCAGCAGCGTGCAAGCATGCAAAATCAGAAGGAAAACCAACACACCCGATTTGGGAGGAATGAGAGCCCCAGGGAGCATCCAAGCTCAAGTAGACTGACATGGGTTGAGCAGCTCGGCGGTGGGGGAAGGAGGGGAGCTCACGGGGTTGCTAGACCATTCATCTTTGTTTCATTAACAGCAACGCACGGCGCTGGTGGATACCCCGTGTTAACACTTGTGAAAAGCAGACAGGAGTAAAACCTTGTTAGCAAGATTCCCAGTCAACTGACCTCATCCCTCAGTGCGAAACAACAAAATGGGCTAATTTAGTCTGGAATAAAGCGCCCCAGTATCTGAACTTCACAAAAGATGCACAAAGCTCTGCTGTCAAGAGCCCCATTTCTTTGATTTAAAAAGCTGACTTTAAATAGAGCAAGCCGTGCTGGGAGGTTCGCGAGCTTTTTGTGTCCTCTCAAGTGTGTTGCCGCTAATACATTTCCCCGAGAGATAGCTGTCCCCAACCCCGGCGCGGCCGACAAAGGCGGCAGCCAGCTCCGCTCCCTTTCCTCGCGCGAGCGTCTATTTGTTCCACTGTTATGGTTACACAAACCCCCCCAGCCTCTCTCTCCTTCCTATGGCAGCATCTGCTTTTTTCAGCAAGAGCAGCGATAACGAAGAGACCATTAATTTCCTGCCCCCTGCACACACACATGCAACAGCTACGGATTTTCCATTAAACCTTTGTGAGAAAGAGAACTTACAATTACACTAAGTGAGAGGTTTAAAGACTTTACCAGCCAAGTCATTTAGGTTTTTAAGACTTATCTTCAAGGAAAGAGGTATCGTAAGTCAGGGAGCAGGTCAGTAAAGTGCTGGTATTGCTTTGAAGGAGAATTCACCCACACAGCAGACTCCAGCCCAGCCACCCCTGCCGACAGAGGGATAAAGTCCTCTTTGGGCACATGAACAATCTGGTCACCTCTGGGCACCCAGGGCTCACGAGCTCCAGTAACTGGGGTACTTCTGAGCACGCAGAGGCAAGGCACAGTTGCACTTCTCCGATTTGACAAAAAAATTTGAAGTGGAAAAAAAAGAAGAGCAATTTTTGCCTGAAAATAACCAGTATTTCATCCTTCATAGGAGCTACTTTTTAAAAAAGGAAATAAATCCCATTTTGACCTTTATTCCTAGAGCTTCCCATGGAGAGGAAGAGGCAGGACAGCACATTTATGAAAATGACTGTGAATTGCAAGGCTTTTATTTGCTCCAAACAGATGTAAGTGCTAACTGTCAGGACCAGTAAGAATCTGCCTGACATTTATGGTAAAGCCATTTATTCCAGATGACTCATTTGCTTTATGGATTAAGTTCCATCAGGCCAGTTTAATTCAACTCCCCAGCCAGCTCCCAGACAAGACTGGAAAAGCTCTTCTGGAGCATTTTTTAACGCTTTTCCTATATGTGTGCAAAAATGTCACATCACTTCCAATGACATCAACTTCAGTAACTTGGAGAAATTGCTGTGGTTCAACAAAACAAACAGTTGGCGAAGATAATCGGAGTGACTTCATCTGCCATTGGCAGCAGCTCCATAAATACTGGGATTCTTGGGGGCTCTCACCGCAACGCACCGATAATGCACTGCACTGTTGTTTTAGTGCGCTACCCCAGAAATCTTCGAGATTCTTAACATCCATGAGAATAAATACTGCTTGATGTGCCTTTTTGAACTGCCACATTTAAACTGGACAACCACAGGCCCAGGATATACAATTGTAACACACACATGAAAAAAAAAAAAAAAATCTTTAAAGTTATCGGAAGCAATTGGGACGCTGCTGATTTTTATTAGGACAAACTCCCTGGTTCTATAAACGCAAACCCAGCCAGGAGGCTGAAGAGCGGCAGAAATTCATTGAGGCTCTATAATGAAGTGGAAGCTTAGAGATGCCAGCCACCAGTGAGTTTCCAAAAAACTTAATCCCTGTCTCAGAGATGACCTGCCAGCCCTCAGATGTTCCACTTGATAAACCCTGTCACCAGCACTTGCCCATGGACAGATGCTCTCTGCTCAGAGGCTGCCCTGCTCCAAGCAGCTCTGCACACACTGGAGTAAAAGTGGTAGCAGAGAAATCACAGAAGAGA